GTTTCTCTTTCCCCCCCCGCCTGCCCCGCGCATCCCCTTTAACTGGCTCAGGCAGCGATCGCCAAAGTCCTGCACAACGAGGACAGGCACAGGATAAAAGCCTCGCCGTTTGTTGGGCTGGTGGTGGACGAGACGGTGGATGTCCTGGAGCACCGCAACCTCGCCATGTTCACCACCACTGTCTCTCCCTGCAACGGGCAGACCTCCGCCACCTTCCTGGGGAGCTTCGAGCTGCCCGCCGGGGAGGCCTCCACGGTGGCGGGCAAGGTGGCCGAGGGGATGCGCTCCTTCGGCATCCCCACCATGAAGATCACCTGGCTCAGCGCCGACAGCGCCTCGCTGGTGGCCGAGCGGCTGAGCGGGGTGGGGACCGCGTTGACCTCCCTCTGCCCGCTCCTCACGGAGATGCACTGCCTGTCCCACGGGAGCTCCCTGCTGCCGGCCGACAGCATCGTCAGCATCGAGTACCTCCAGAAATACGAGACAACCGTGGACGCCGTGTACAGGCTCTACTCCAGCTTCAGGGGGGAAAGCAACGGCCTGCAGGAGCTGCGGAGTGTCCTGGACCTCTGCGAGATAGACCTTGGGAGCCCCAAAGCCATCCACTGGACTTCTATTTTCCCAGCTGTGGAAGCCATTGATTCCTCGTGGCCCACGCTAGTGCTGTTGCTGGAGAGCGAGGCGGAGCGGTCACCTGTGGCCCATGGCCTCTGCGAAGAGCTCAAGAAGTTCCAGTTTGTGGCCTTCACCAAGATCCTCCTGGATGTCCTTCCCATCTTCCAGAAGCTCAGCCGCTTCTTCCAGATCGAGGACTTTGACCTCTCCATCCTGAAGCCCATCGTCTCCGCCACAGCCACCACCCTGCAGGCCCAGAAGAGTGCCAGTGGCCAGAACCTCCAGGAGTTCCTCAACGAGATGAATGAGCACCCACGGGACGACCGGGAGGGCGAGAGCCGCCTTTACTACAAGGGCGTCGAGCTGGCCAACTGCTCCAAGGTGCACCTGAAGCATTTTGAGTGCCTGAAGGAGAGCTACCTGGAGAGCGTGCGGGGCAACCTGCTGGACAGGTTCCCCAGCAGCGTCCTGGAGGCCATCAGCTCCTTCTCGGCCATCTTCAACCCCAAGTGCTACCCCCAGTCTTTGGAGGACATTGGCAGCTATGGGGTCAGCGAGCTGAATTTCCTCCTGCAGGCTTACTCCCGGGTGGTGGTGAGCGAGAGGGCCCTGAGCGATTTCCCCCTCTTCAAGCGGATCGTCTTCAGCCTCAGCCAGCTCTCCTTCAAGGACCTCTGCGTCAAGCTGGTCTACAGCAACTCTGAGATGCATGAGCTCTTCCCAGACTTCGCTGTCCTTGCAGCCATCGCCCTGGCCTTGCCGCTGGGCTCGGTCCTTGCTGAGAAGATCAGCCGGGGCCGGGAGCTGCTGAAACGTGGCCGGTTGCGCTGCACAAAGGACGAGGGGCTCTCTGACCTCATGAAGATCGCCATCGACGGGCCGGCCATCAACGAGTTTGACTTTGCGTTGGCCATCGAGTACTACGAGAGTATGAGGGAATC